GAGATGATCAAATTCCTGAAGTAGTCATGAAGAATTGCCGAGAGAATTGCCTGAATTCTCAATGACGGGCAGATCATAGATCTTGAAGAGTCTCTGACAGGGCCGCACGAAGACGAATGAGTTTCTGGAAATCATTCCCAGCATTCTGAATTATTCTTAATAAAAATTAAAAAATCCATACTTTCTTAAAACCCTTGTATCTTCTCTTGAGAGATGGTTATCAACGTGAATCAAAAAACATTGTGTCAAGAAGGGATCGCACATCAATCAAAAATATGATGAAGTTAAGTTTAGCCACTCAACTTTGCCACAGGGTGTTAAGAAGTTGGGGGTGAAAGAGTAACTTTTGTTTTTGCCTGTATACAGTGTGTCCCACTTACCATGCTCACCATGGGTATCTTTTTAACGGTGAGAGATACGAGGTCGGTTAAATGACACCAAATGTGGAGTTTGTCAAGGCCAACTATAATGTGAAAAAATATTTTGATAAAATCTATTCGTTTTTGTTTTATACGCAAAAAACAGATTTAGAACATTTTCATGTCTCCTCCATAACTTCTTCATTTATGAAAATATTCAAATAGGAATTTCACATTCTCATGGCAGTTTTTCAAAGTGATTTCGAAAAAAATATGAAATTTATACCAACTCTTCTAGAATTTGAGATTTCAGCACCAACTTTAGTTTTTTAAATGTAGGTCATAGCTCACTATGACTTAGTTACAAATAACTTTTTTTTCTCTTACAGATGATATGTCGCAGTAATAGTTTTGTGTTGATAACAATGGAGTTATCGTCATTTATACAAAAACAAAAAATTATTTGGAAGCCGCCATCTTGAATTAATAAATTTTAACAAAAAAATCATGATCTCCGACCTCAAAAACCCCCACTTACCAATTTTGAATGGAATCGGACCAAATCTTGTTCGCCATCAATTGAAAAAAATGGCTGCTCCAAGATGGCGGACAAGATTTGGTCCGATTCTATTCAAAATTAGTAAGTGGGGGTTTATGAGGTCGAAGATCATGATTTTCTTGTTAAAATTTATAAATTCAAGATGGCGGCTTCCAAATATTTTTTTGTTTTAGTATAAATGACGATAACTCCGTTGTTATCAACACAAAACTATTACTGCGACATATCATCTGTAAGAGAAAAAAAAGTTATTTGTAACTAAGTCATAGTGAGCTATGACCTACATTCGAAAAACTAAAGTTGGTGCTGATATCTCAAATTCTAGAAGAGTTGATATAAATTTCATATTTTTTTCGAAATCACTTTGAAAAACTGCCATGAGAATGTGAAATTCCTATTTGAATATTTTTATAAATAAAGAAATTATGGAGGAGACATGAAAATGATCAAAATCTGTTTTTTGCGTATAAAACATAAACGAATAGATTTCATCAAAATATTTTTTCACATTACAGTTGGCCTTGACAAACTCCACATTTGGTGTCATTTAACCGACCTCGTATCTCTCACCGTTAAAAAGATACCCATGGTGAGCATGGTAAGTGGGACACACTGTATGTATCAAGCCACCAGCTTCTCTTAGAAACTAATATTCAGACCAACATTCTGAAACATGAATATAAAATTTGGTCAAAATTTTACCAAAATCGGACAAGAATTAAAAAAATTACAGGGCGAACAACTTGGCTTAATTTTTTGGTGGACGGTTATTTTTGCTGGTGAGTGTATTATTTATGCGAAAGCCAGAATTCAGATAACGATGACTTTCGGTTCGGTTCATGACGTCACTGAAGCTGTCTTCCTGTCGAGGGTGCCGAATTTCATTTTTGAAAAATAGTACATTGTATAGGTACATCAAGGGACAGAAATGCAAGATTTTTTCCGAGGGAAAATTGCATTCTGTCCCGAGGTGTATACACTATTTTTTACGCTGGCGAAAACACAAAAATTGAGAAAGAATAAAAATTTGGTGAAAGTGTTTTGTAATTAGTAATAGTATAGATTGTGGAATTTGTATCTTGACAACATGCATCTTGTTGACAGTCCATGGTGACAGGCAAATATCAAACTGAAATTTATGAAAACAGCTTTGAAAATGGTTAACGATTATGGAACAAGAAATCGAGGGAAAACCCCAAGAAACTATTGATACTACTTCTGCAGTGATTCGTAATTTGCTACCAGTAAGATCTAGAAATCTATGATAGAGCTTATACTCGCTTCAGAGAAAGGTGTTCCGAAAAGAAAGCGCAGAGCTATGCATAAACTCCCTAGGGAGAAAATATGTCACATTATCTCCCTAGGGAATAATACGAGACTTCTGTCCCTCTTTTGTAACCAGAGAAACTGACTTCTACCACAGATTAACAAACCTTTTCTACTACCGCCGGCGTAAAAAATATATTTGCGATGATAGGAATGATTGCATGAAATACTATTTATACACGGAATATAGCCTCATTATCTGTTTAATAAGCACAATGAAACATTGTCATAGGTACAGGATCCAGGATACGATTTGAAATCTAGAAATTCCTTGGCGTTCAAAGTACCATTCGAGGGATCGCCATTCTATTAAACTCTATGACAATATCGCATTCTGTATCCCACCCACAAAATCGAAAGGTCAATGTGTTCTTGCATGACAAACTCCTTGGTCATAAAGCTGATTTTTCCGGACATTCAAGGATTTTCGAGCGTTTAGCAATGATATAGCCGAGCCCCAGGTGGACAACCAATTTAAGGGTACGCAGATGTGATCGGACAATAATTGGGAATTAACTTCTGGACAGGACGACATTTCCACAGTCTACACAGAAACAAAAATTTGTTTGAAATCACAATTTATCTGTAAATTCAACAAAATCTGAGTGTCATATATCCACGACCAAATATTTTGTCACCGCAACGATTTTTTTGTCAGTTTTCAACTTAAAATTCATTTGATTTAACTCATCAATGATTCAAATTGACAGAATTGGTTAAATGAACAAAGACTATTTTGTTCCTATAATACAATATTTGCTCTGATGAACAGATTCTGTTGATTGAAATGATCATATCATTTCATTCAAGTGATAAGATTTTCAGTTTCTCAGAGTGACTATGTTTAAATAACAATATATATTCTGAATATAACAAAATATTTGTTTCATTCGATCGACAAAATTGTTTTTGGAATTGACAAAATATTTTGTCGAATGATATTTAAAAATAAATCCAATAACTAAGTTTCAAAACTAAGAGAAATTAGAGATTAATTTCCTCAGTTGATTCAAGACTATTAGCTTGTTAGTGTTATTAGATATTCTAGGACAGCCTAATTCAATTATATAAACGGATGTTCTAGGTAGATATATGTACACCCCAATCGAAGCGAACGTAGGAAGGTGGGAAGATTCGCCACCTAGTGGCGAAAATGCAACTAGATAATCATACAAAATATTTGTTCGATATAATGTATCTGTGGGTTCTTTTCAACAAAATCTGTTTGAAATAACAACATATTTCTTGATAATGATGTGTTGAATCAACAAAATATAATGTTGTCATAATGTATTCAATTTTGAGGGATAGAAAAAATCCTTTGATTGGTTGCCCAATGAAATGATTGTTGAATCAACAAAATATAATGCTGTACTTAGTTAAATCTTTGTCAAAATTAATTTTATTTTGTCAAATAGACAAGATGCATATGATTGAAGAATGAGATGATAGTTAGATCAACAAAATTTGTTTTATGTCAACTATAAATGTTGTTGAATAAAATGAAACTTTTGTTCAAGTAAGCAAATATTTTAATCAAAGTATTTTGTCATTTTGAATAAGTCGCTTATTTGGAATGCACATATATTTTATTAATTTCGCAAAATTGTGTTTAATTGACCAAAATTATTTTGTTGGTGCAACAAAACTTTTTTTCCGTGTACTCCACCAAAACTATTCCTTATAGTAATCAAATCACAGAACAGTTTTCTAGCTTCAATGCTTCATCATCAGCTTTTAGTAACATAAGAGAACTAAAGTAAGAGAAAAATAATAGGAAATTTCAGAAGAACACTTCAACAACGACAGTTCAAAAAGACTCACCTGTACTGGAGGAATAAATTATGTTCACATATTACAAAAAAAATTCGAAAAAATTTTACAAATACATGGTTGAGAAAATAAAATAGAGGGACCGCAATTATTACGGATCACCTATAATAGGGGACTGGTTTTTACTAACTAACCTAGGCGATCCGAAATAATTGTGGTCTCTCTATTTTATTTTTTGAACTATGCTTCTGTGAAAAATGTTTTAATTTTTTTGTAATATGTGAAATATTGTGAACATAATTTATTCATTCAGAGCAGATGAGTCTTCTCTAACTGTCGTTGTTGAAGTGTTTGTCTGACATTTCTCTTCATTTTTCTCTTACTTCAGTGCTCCTATGTAACTTAAAGCTGATGATGAAGCTTTGAAGCTTCGAAACATGTCCCGTAATTTGATAGCAATGAAGAATAGTTTTGGTGGAGTAGACTGTAAGAATTTCATCCTGTCCTATTGCCTGCACTCCACTCTGTAAGATGGATTGCCTCAGATGAATTAAGTTTTGATTCAGTTATATTTAGATGAATTCTTGGTACATGATATCAGAAGTAAAATTATATTTTCAGAATAATATTCTTCGGAGGTTCTTTGTAGAGGTCATTCAAAGACCTCAGGACTATTAAAATTTAATGATATGACCGTTAAAATTAATGAAATGACTACCCAAATATTCGATTTATCAATTTCTGTTCACATTATGTGAAAATTATATCAATAAAAAGACTAAGGAATGTTGATGCTGATGGAATCTTATAATCCGAACGATGGAATAATGTAGCTATTATTCGCAAAATTAAAATCCAATATGATTGAATACATTGGGAATCTGTTGAAGTTTCAATAGATTGAAAAGTCTTTCGAAGGCCTAAATATTTCTCTAATTTACAAAATAATAAGAGACCTGTTGGAAATATTGAATGCTACTTACTCCAGGTTCAAGTGATAGGGCCATAAAACCAAATCCTAGAAGGTACATCCACAGCAGACCTGAAATGAGATTAATCTATTTAGCAAAAGTATATACAATACTCAGTTTATTTTGACCCCACCAAAACACTGATACTGATTTAATAGCCAAAAAGTTGATCTGCGATGATTTTTTTCATCTCATAAAAGTGAATGAATTCAGATATAATTACGCCAATAAAATTTCTCAGTTGTCAAAAAAAATACCATCAAAAAATAAAAGCCATATAACCATAAAAGTAATCGATCGATCAAATCTATAAAAAAATGTTTACATTCATCTGATTCAAATCTACATAATTTGTTTTGGAGATCGAACCATAACAACACTTCTGCGATAATCCATATTATTTATTATATCCTCTTATCCAAGAAATTTCGTAATGACGAGTAAATCTCAGATGTTACCTCGTCCTGATTCAATCGACATTTTTATTGAATTGTATAATTGCCAAATGATCGGGACGATCCAATTCATTAGATTAAGGACATGATCTTAATTCCATTGGCAACGCATCAATTTGATTGACTGATATATTTAGATAATGATTAGCCGCAGAAAACCATCAATTTTCGATATCGATTATCATGATGAGCAACATATTGCTTGAAGGTATAATTCAATTTGAAGAAAATTGCGACATTTGAATCAATAATTGTGAGCATTTTCTCAACTCAAAGGTAAAGTAGGTATATGCTCATATACCGGGTGACACAGAAGACATGTAACAGCCTGTAGTTTTTTTAGTTGAAGAGATAAAAATTTGAAATTCACAAGGGTAATATTATCGATGATGGCGCTTATTCCTTTGAACCCGATCCCCTGTATATATATTTCTGTAGTCTATCTTATTCGCCTTGGAATTCTCTATTCAACTATGTATCACAATTTGATATTCGTTCATTGATGCGCGATCGTAAAAACTACGTCCCTTCAATATCGAAACAGATCTACAAAGTTTTGCCATATAGAGTGTTGTTTTTCAAATAAAAGTAGTTTTTTGTTTTTCCTCAAGACAGACCTGGATTCTGATCCCGATTTTCATTTAGTTTTGATGGGTAATATGGGTGGAATATTTCTACCAAGTATGAAAAGATTATACGAAGTGGTTCAAAAGCTATGACCAGATGATAATTTTGCCAAAATCAAGATAACGTCCTGTATCTCAGTTATAAAAGACGGTAGACACATCAATGGGGGGTGATTTGGAACCATCAAAGTGTCTTCTATCTACAGATATCGTATGTACATTTGAATCTGAAACACCCTGTATGCCTACAGTAGATAATATTTCATCCCACGGTAACTTGTTTCGCCGTATATTTGAAGGTTAATTTCACGAAACAATCCTATGAATATGCAATCCAACGGAAAATGACTCATATCAGAGCTCCTTATTGTTGAAGCTTGTTTTTTTGATCCGTGGACCGAAAAGGCACTGTATAACGGTACCGAACATTCTATCTTTATTCATTCGGAGATTCGTTTCAGATAATTAACTTCTCCAGTGGTAATGAAATGTGATGGAAGCTATACACTATACTAATGACAGTATACGAAACTTCAGAAGGAGGTGGTTCTTTAGGTCGTTTTGAGAAAAAAGGTTCCTTTGAACATATTATTATGTCCTGGAATTGATTCGTTTCTGAGATAGAGGACGTTGAGATTGAAAAGATACTTCCTGATTTTTAATTGCAATTCATCAACGATGGGTGTTGAGTTTTTCTATAGACTTATCTTCAGAACAGCCTATGGGCCTCTGAATTGTCGTATCTCTAATTTTGAATCACTCAAAATCACCCATTTGAATTTTTTCAGGCATATCTATTCCAATATAGCAATATAAGTTTACCTATAGTCAAGTATAGTAAATTACGACAGTGATTCTCTAATGAAACAATAGCAAATCATGAGTTTCAACATATTCTTCAATGTAATAGTTATTCAATTAAATTGTTAGATATTGAATAAAAAATGACCCAGCAAATCTTAGATGTCCATCATCATTAATAACCATACGTGGGAATATTATAGTTTCGTAACAAGAAATGTCTATGAAGAATTAATCATCACCATTATTTCATTTCCCTATCAAATAGTTAAAAATGCTATGCTTCAATGTTTGAAAAGGGAAATCCAATAATATCAAATGAAACGGAATCGATCAACAATGGCAAAGTGAAGAATTGTAACTATCAATACATATTCAGAAAGAATACAGAAATAGAACTCCAAAGCATATCATTAAAACTTTCATCTGGAGAATCATCAAATCATTGTTCTCCTTATGCAATGAAATATCGATGATTTTATGGAAATTATTTTCCCATATTCAAAATATAAATCATTTCACCATGTATAACGGGTGATCTCGCTCATTAATTAAACTTCATTGTTCTGAGAAGCCAAACAAAAACTTTAGGATAGTTAGAGTTGGTTTAAAATTGTTGAATCAACGGATATCAATGCTATGTAAATCGATTTTTTCAATGCACTCCACATGGGTATGTATAATAAATAATATGATACTTTCAAATGTTGCGAGCCAAACGAAGGCTGTTTGAAAGTCATTCACCTAATTCAAATTGCAGTGCGTTTATGAAAATCACAATTTGAATTTCGCATTGACACTTATTTGCTTATAACGTTGTTTGCTTAGTCCCTGAAAAGGGGGCACTAAAAACAATGGGTATCTACTTATGTGAATAATAAAACTCAGGGGGTGGGTGTAAAAGTACAATATTCCTTTATTGTTGGTTGAGGTTGGTTCACTTCATATGGTGGTAAGTGGTGGTTAATTCTGAGAGCTTTAAGTAGTGATTTATGAGCAGCAAGTGATGACTATTACAGATGAAACCATAATAACACAATCCAGATTGCAAGTTGCAGTGGAAACTTACCCAGCTTTCCCTCTGGTATCGATACCAAAAGTGTACAGGTTGATCACTAGATATACTATACTTAAACTATGCTAATACTGGGTGAGGTCAATGCATTATATCCTGAATTAGTGCAACTAAAAGAAGAACTAGATACAGCTCACTTTGAAGGATTTTTAGAGGTGACAGTGGCAGCTTGGAGCAGGAGTGTCCCACAGCAAGTAAGACAGGTAAGTGTTAGATATAAGCAGTCGGGCCTGCTCAAGTCAGCTTCTGATCCATAGGTCGAATCCTTGTTGGCTACCCTCTGTATTAAAACTACAATTGACATGCTAGGCAGGAGGTATATGCAGGCTGGTGTACCCAGGGTACCATGCAGAAAGCAAAAGCAAAGCAGGCAATAATATAAGCCTCTGTGGTTATAGCAGTAAGTACACTTATTGACTACTAGAAATCGTTTTTGTTGGCCCTGCAAGTAATAATACTACTATGTAGAAATTTATCAAATAAGCTGCAGAAATGCTTGATTCAACCCATACCTTGTTCGTAGGTGGCCAGATGTATCAACTACAGCGAGTTGTGAAAATGATATCTGATAATCAAATTCTGACTAGGAATTTTATCCCTTGGCAGGTAGTAGGCAGTGGACCGTCCTTTGACTACTTATATTTCCTAGTAAGTTTTGATTATACAATTTAAATCCGCAATAATGCGATGGCACGTTTCAATACCTTCATAGGTTATCAGAAAAAGCCCTGTCAAATATCACTATCTTGGCGGGACTTTCCCAGAATCCCGCCAAAATGACCCACTTGTCAGGTTATACCGTTTTAGGTTATTAGGTTGAGTTAGCAGTTATCTTATTTTCAGGTTGAGGACTAACTAGGTATTCCAGATGGAGCAGAAGAAGAAGATGACAAAACCCAGAGACCAGACTAGTAATAACCTTCAACTAATATAGTAAGGTTAATGATGGATCAATGTTATTATTTTTCTACTACTTGATTTTTCTACAAGGTAAGATCATTATATTGCAAATGTTGTTGATAATTCACCAATATATATGTATTTCACAGATTTGGACCAGAGGAAGCCCACATCAGTAGAGATCGGACCGAGGATATCGAAGTTGATGGCATGGGTTAGTAACAATGGGGAAATGATTCCTTTTATTAATGGTTTCTCATTATTTTCCAGGTCTGCTGGATCTAAGCAGTACTCGAATGAAGATGGAATATCAAGCATGATACCTAAATGATCTGTATAACGATTGAATAAAGGATTTTAGATAACTCTGCTTCTAGTCTGTGCACATACTTTCATCAAATCAAAGTGAAACCGTAACATGCTTTACCCAAAAAACCAGATGTACGAGAATTTTGTCACAATATTAACATCAATCATGGTCTTGGCATTACGTGATCAACATTACTACACAAAAAACACAAAAGATTTCCTATTGCATAAAGTGAATCTCGTGTGCATTCATCAAAATCTTCCTCGTTTTTTGCTCATCTCACAGCTTTAGCTAACAATACTTTCACATGTCACAAGGCTTCTATCTTCTATCTCCTTGTATTCACACTTATTCGAGTCAAATGTCACGTCCAAATTAATAATTATAATTAAAATGTATTCAAATAATTCAAATGCTTTTTGTTGAGTCGAAATTAATGTTGCACTTAGGATGATTATCTTGATGGCATTTCAGTTGTTTACTGTTGCTTGACTTTGTAGAGAAACAATGAAAATTCTTCACCATTATGAATGACAGCTGCTGACCTTTATTTGTCGAACCGATCTATATCTTTCAAACGCATATTATCAGTGATTAAACACTACGTATACTTAGTCATATCTGAGCAGGATACCGGATTTCGTCTTGCGACATTCGGCCTTATACCATAATAATTATTGTTATAAAAGAAATAAAATTTGCGAAATGTCCAAGGTCGTCTTCAAAACTGGCGCCTAAAAAATCGTGATCATCTTTCCTATACAGGGTATCCTTTTTTCGAACTTCACCATGTGCATTTCAGTATTATTATGGCTTCATGAAGAGATCAGTTGATTCCAACTCATTCACCTACACTTAGTATATTCTACACAGACTCAATGACAAACAAAAAAATATTTTTTTA